AAAAATAACTATATAGAAGATTTAATTGTGAAGTACAACCTTAAATTATATTGTACTTAAATTTAATGAATTAGAATCTGGAAAAAAATATTGCTATTTATCTACCTTCATACAAGGATTTGTTTGAACCAGAAAAGAAGTTAAAAGAACCAGGATCAAATGAAAGTGAATATAAGGATGATATCGAAATAATGCAGAAAAAACTTGAAATTTGCAAAGAGTTAGTATCCAGTTCTGGCTACCTATATATTCTTTCTAAAGCAGATAAGTATGGTGTTGATGCAGGATTTTGATCTTGAAATAAAATAGCTAAGCCACCATTATTATTTATTGTAGAGAAGAAAACAGACCCTATTCGGGTCTTTGTACTTATTAATACGAGTCTCATGATATTATTTTTTTATATATAAAATATTAATAATCCCACGAAGCTCCCGTTTTAAGATCAACAAAACTTTTGGCCGCGAACTTTAATATTTTGCAGATCGTCGCCAAAAGAAGCCATAATTTCTTAACCGCAGCCCGACGATCAGTCGGCCGTAACTATGAAAACGACGATCATAACGTCGTTACAAAAAAAAAATTAAATAAGAATTACAAATTATAGAATTTTCAGTTCTTTAAGATGCTTATTTGTTATAAACGTTCGGTAAAAATGGAGGTAAGCAGAAGGTTAATTTTATAGATAGTTTATTTTAATAAGAATATGAGTACTGTCTTAGTCAGCGCTCTGTACTGTGTATATGTTTTTATATTCAAAACTAAACTATTTTTAATATTGACACAATTCACTTAATTCAATCGCTTAATTCAACCACACCTAAACTTAAGAGAAATTTCTATCCTAATTATTGATCTATTTCTTGTGCTATTTAAATATAAAGTTCAATTTGGAAGTTAAACTAAATAAACCAATTCAACTATATTAACATATGTAACTTAATTTTCTAAATAAATTTTTTAATTTAAATCCATGTTTTAAAAATTCTACTTAAATATGATTGGCTATTTTTTTTTAAAAAAAAATTGAATAGGACAAAGATCTGGCCAATCAAATCAAACTTCAAATGGATCACATAAAAAAAAAAAATTTACAGCATTTTAGATTTCCTCCTTTTCAATCACATACTCGAAGGGTTATACTACTTTTGAGTTTCTATTTAACTAATAAGTCATGGTAAGGTTTTAATTAAGGAAACGTTAAGGGAAAATAATTAACGCAAATTATCATTTCGTTTACATTTAACCAATCGGGAATAATAATTTAAGTTCTAATAATTAATTATCTTAATTTTAGCCTGCCAACGACAAATCCAACGAAAAGGGACCAGCTGCTAATCCCATGAGGGAATTGAGTATTGAAAAATTGGTTTTAAACATCTGTGTAGGAGAATCGGGAGATCGTTTAACAAGAGCAGCAAAAGTACTTGAACAATTAACAGGGCAAACGCCAGTATATTCAAAAGCGCGTTATACCGTTCGTTCTTTTGGTATTAGACGTAATGAAAAAATTGCAGTACATGTTACAGTACGTGGTCCAAAAGCCGAAGAAATTTTAGAACGTGGTTTAAAAGTTAAAGAATATGAATTAAAAAGAAGTAATTTTTCCGAAACTGGAAATTTTGGTTTTGGTATTCAAGAACATATTGATTTGGGTATAAAATATGATCCTTCCATTGGTATTTACGGTATGGATTTTTATGTGGTACTGGGTAGACCTGGTAATAGAGTTTCTCGAAGAAGAAGAGCCCAAAAGAAAGTTGGTTTCAATCATCGTGTTACCAAAGATGAAACCGTCAAGTGGTTCAAGCAAAGAGTATTTGTCCTTTATTAAAAGTTTTATTTATTTTTTTCTTTTAACCCGCAATGAAAATTTAATCTTTTTTTTTTTTTTTTTCATTATTTTAGTTCGACGGTATCGTTCTCAACCGTTAAGCCTTATTTACTTTTTTTTCTCTACGACGGAATGTATAATTGTAGCTTAAAACAATACATCATTTAATTAAGTTGCGAAAATATATTTCTGGGTTTCTTTTCCTTGAAAAAAAACAAAAGTTCAAGAATTTCTTTATGCTTTTCATAATAAATATATTGCAGGAAAATACCAAAAATTTTTATTTTATCAATTAAAAGATTAAATTTTCTTCTCCGATATGTCAATTTCTTGCAGAATTATATTAACAACATCCATGGGACCATCATCAATTACAACGACATCAAAATTTTCTAAATAAGATTTTAATAAATTATCAACATCATGATTTAAAAATCCGATAGTTAAACAAACATCATGTTCAATTCCATCCGCCATGTGTAGATCTCCAATGGAATCTCCAAGTAAAATTACATTTCTTCTATTTTCAATTGTTGTATGGTAAGGGGAATGTTTGACGGCAATTTCAGATTTGTTAAATATGTGAATGGTTGGTTCCGTAAAATCATCACATATTCCTGTTTCTAGATTAAATTTCATTTGATTGGATACGATATGCATGTTTTCTTGATGGTAAAGATTTTTTCGAATTAGAACCTGTTCAATAACATCTTTTGTGAAAAATCAAGTTATATAAATTTGTTAGGATCTTTCTGATAATATAAAAAAACAGAAAGAAAAAATAAAGTTTTATTATAATTACTTCCTATTCCAGCAGAAAATATCAGAAAAGGTACTTTTTTCTCTTTACATTTATCAATCAATTCTTTTAAACCACTTCTCATTTCAACTGGAGTTTCATCTACCATGGTGGCAAAATCATCTTTATTAATTTGTTGTTTAATTAATAATTCATGGGCTTTATTCCACCATTCAACCATATAGGGTATTTTTTGTTCTTTTGTTAATTTCGGATTAATTTCAATTGGATAATATTTTTCAAGTAATAACTTTGTCTCTTCTTTAAACTAAAAAAAAACAAATTCATTTTAAAAAGCTAAAATTAAAAAGTAAAAAAAAAAAAAAAAAAAGGAAACAGAGGATTTTACTTCATCGGTTAATCGTGAACTTGATGATAATATTAAATGAGAACCAGGATTACGTTCTTTTCTGTCTTTATTTTTGTAATACCGTGTCATCGTTGCATCGAAATCTTTTTTGAGAAATAAAATGGCCAAATGTATTATTATTCACGATAATTTTCAAATAACCAAAAAAAAAAAAAGATATATATTACCGCAAATTATATGTAAGTTGTTGAGTCCATCTAAGAGAATTTTATCAATCTTCTTTGCAGTAACTTCGACATTACTAACGATTGCAATTTTTTGAATAATATCTAAAAGTTGAGTTTCCGAAGGTGCCAACATATTTCAAATGTCAAAGTGTGAACGAAAAAACAAATTTTTAATGATTTTTTTTTTTTTTTAGGGGTAATACCGCGTTGTTTGATAATAGATGAGCATTATGAACTTCATAAGGATTAGTAATAAATAAAATAAATCGAAAAATTTGTATCTTATATGAGTAAAATTTGCCGATCCTTTTTGCAGATCATTTGTAAAAATGATTCTAAAATCTCGGCGTATTTGGCTAAAAGAATTTGTAGAATTAAAAAATTTTTACTACATATAAAATATTTTATGAAATAGTAATAACTCCAAAAAAAAAAAACTGCACCTACCATATAAGTTGTAAAGCTTATTAATCATATAATAAAATAAATTGACGTGTATAATAAAAAATTTTGATCCCTCTTTTGATTTAATTCCGTTAATATTTATTATCAAATTATTCATTCAAAAAAATGCAAATGCGAAAATCATGATTTTGAAAAAAGCAGCAAAATGCGAAAACGAATTACATTCCGTAATGGCTTTTTTGATCAGATTACGACGGGATCTATTCATCCTGAATAGAAATACTACGTAATTATTAATTTCTATTTTACAAAAGTTAAATATCTTAAGTCACCTGATTTAAAGTAACCAAGTTTATATTGATGATCAGTTTAAATGACGAACTTTTTTTTAAAAAAATTATTTGTCCTGAACGAAGCGAAGGACTATATATTTCCGTGCATTGAGTAAATTTTGGTCATGTGAGCGTTTCTATGTCCGCCACGTGATTTTCGTCCAATAATTCGTTCAGGACTCAACGGTCCCCGTTTCCTAGTTTTTAAATTTATTTTACCGTGGAGGTGGCGAATTTATTTCTATAGAAATATTTTTTTTTTAAGTATGTTTTGCTATAGAGGGCGATGACAATTTTTTAAAAATTTTATTTTAAAATCTATTTTGTCGAGGTGACGAATTTTTTTTTAAAAAAAAAAAAATTTATTTTACGATATAGACGACAAAATTTTTTCGTTTTAAAGAATTTATTTTAAGTTTATTTTGCTATAATGACTTAGATAATACGAACTAATAAAACAAGTTATGAATAATTTGGTGATTAGCACTATTAACAATATTATCACTACTTTATCTCGGATGATGAAAAAAAGGAGTTTTTTTTTTAAAAAAAATTATTTAATTATTTTGAGATGACGAATGTTTTTTTTAAAAAAACTTTATTTTTAAAATCTATTTTACTATGGAGGTGATGAATTTTTTTTATTTTTAAATTATTTGACAACTCCAAGAATCTGAAATAACTTAATCTAAACATCTGTGTTAGTTCCAGTAATGCTATATATTATAATATAAAAATTAAGTGACAGTATTTTTAAGTTCTAAATACCTGAGAACATTAATTATTGGTAAAGTAATACAATTCAAACACCTGTTGATCAAACATTAGCGAAAAAATGGAACAATCTTAATATTAAAAAAAAAAGCATATACAGTAGATTTTGATTGTAAAAAATATTAGTAAATTAAAAATTATATAATTGTAAGATCTTTTATAATAATATCATTTAAGTCGGAATTTAAAATCAACATTAGAAGTATTAGAAGAATGTTAATCTAATCCTTATTTTATAGAAATGTCACTCCTTCACTTCGCTCTGGAATAATAATTAAATTATTTATATACATAATTTTGACCAATTATAAATAGTAGACACATAATTTGGAATTTATAACAAAAGAAAATTATTTTAGAAAAATACATAAATTATTTATAAAAATACAAGTTAAAGAATTATGATGATCTCTTAATACAAAATTCTGAAAATACTAAATACTGATAATAATCCTAATTTCACAGATTAAATGAAATTTAATAATATTCAAAATAATACTTATTTTTATTTTTTTACATATTATTATTCTTCTTAGTTTATTTATATTTTATTTATTAAATTAGTTAGTTTATAGCATAGCAATTAGTTAATTACAACAAAGAAATTTTGTATAAATAGATAGATTTTTTACTTATATTGTAAATTAACTCTTTTGCAAATATGAGTTTTAATATTATAAAAAGAAATTAATTAAACTTACAACTTTCTGCCTTTTTATATTTCATATAATCTGACATGATCTTTATTCAAACTTTGTAATTGAGTTTATCATTTAAATGCTTTAATTAAAATTGATTATGATCTTATCTTTTAAGTTTTTTACTTGACTGATTTAGTATATAAATTTAGTAAAGTTAAAAGTTAAATGAATCCTAACATCTTAATTGCAAATAGTAAAAAATTAAAAACATAGTTAATCTAAATTAGAAAATTCTATAGTAATAATATAAAGAAGAATATTCAAACCTAAAGTCATTTGTAAGTATTACCTATTTTTTAAATAACTTTAACAAAAATTCTACTTTATTATTACTATTATTATTATTATTATTAAATTATTATTAATATTTGTATCTTATTTACTTTCATAATTTTTATTAACTATTCTTTTCTTTTTTTCTTTATTAATTATTCTTAAATGTTTTTATTATTTTTCTTTTAAAATTTGTTTTTTATTAGTAGAAGTATTTTATAATAAAAATCACTTAAAAAATTTAGATTTAATTCAGCTTTATTGTTAAATAATTATTTAAAATCCTTTTATAAATTTTTAATTACTTATAAATATTTTTTATTAATATCAATATAAGAAAAATAAAAATTTATAAAACATATTTTTAAATGTAAATTTCATTTAAATAAAATTTGTTTTCTTATTGATAAGTAATACAATATAATGATTATTAATTACATTTGCATAAAGGAAAATTTTCTTATAATAAAAATAAAATAAATAATATTATAATAATAAGATTATTCCTTTCAAATAATTTTTGTTTTTTATTAAATAATAGTATATTTTTATATAACTATTTTCTTAGTATTTATTATTTATTTTCTTTTAATAAATTTTTAAGTAATTTTTTTTTAAAAAAATAAACTTCTAGTATATAAATACATTTATTTTGAAAATGTAAGAAATAATTTTTTTATCTTATTCTTTTTCAAAATATTTTTAATTATACTATAATTCTTTATTCTATAATAGACCTGATATAAATAATTTTTATCTTACAATATTATTAATCATATTATATTAATAATACAATTATAATATTAAAAAATAATTTTAATTTTTGATAATATATTTTATATAAAAATTTTTTATATTTATATTTATATACAGTAGCGGTCATAAGTATCCGACCGCCTCTAACTCTGGCTACAAGTAAGTAAATTCAAAATTTTTTTTTTATTT